GCTCGTGACGCGGGACTAGCTTGAAAAGCTAAGGACACATCGTGATGATAACATGCGGGAACAGAGAAAGAGCTGGTCGGATGAAGTTAACAACTGCAATGGAAATTGGCTTTCACCGCTTGGCAGCCTATGAAACGTATTTGGAATTGTGCTAACTTGACCCAAAGAATGTTTTTAAGAACCGTCCTATGTGTCATCGACTCGTGGCTTGATTGAAACGTGTTTTGTGTAATGTGGTGTGTTTTTGGTCTGGTTTGGCAACTGTGAAGGTTCTTGAAGGTAACTCTACACATTCATGACCTTAAACAAAGTGGAAGCTCGCATGAAGGTAGAACATGGGGATGCGCGCACCTCCGATTGTTTTCATATAGCCCGTGTCCTATATGTGGTTTGAATGTGTGTTTGTGATGCTCTAACTTTCAGTTTTGCTGAGAAACAACGGTATAACATAAGGCTATTTAACCAACCAACGTTCTATCAGAGAGCTGCGCAAATTATGGTCGATGGCACTCAATCACTGGGCGAAGCATAAAGAGCACAAGTATAACGAGTACATCCGTATAAGGAAGTGTATGGCCGACAACTGGTCAACTGGTGATTGCGTGACGCACATATCTCCGTTTTTATTTTGTGTGGTATTTAGTTGTATTTCATTGTTTTTAGCTGACATTTAATGCCCCTTAACGAATCATGCAACTTGTCTCGTAATGAAATTACCCCTAGTTGCACAACTTGTCACGCATAGTGCTGTGTTTAAAAACTAGATATTATCGCTGAACGAAGTCAACATACATGAAACGTCTGTTTAGAAAGTTCATTATTATAAAGATCTTAAAACTACTTACATTGATGTGTATTTTCTGTGACGAAGAAAAGAAATTGTCACAATGAAGTGTGAGGGAAACTGAGGATAACGAGGAATGAAATTTGAATAGTTTTATTGCGTTTGGTCTCTAGAGGCGTATTTCGTGCCACTCGAACTGTTGTACGCTTCTAAGACATCAGTTATCGTCGTTAAGCAAAACTGTGCAGTGCGTTCACGGAGGATCGAAGTGAGATTTGCTTCATTCCCATCCAGCCATGAAAACGCGTTTCGCATTTTAGGGTCGGAGAATGCACATGTTTCCACCACCAAGGTAATTCTATCCCGCATCCCGCTATATTTTAAACCCATCCCGTATACCACCAAGCGCATGCGTCATGCGATCATTTCTTTTCTTGGAATTTCGGGCAACACGCGAGTGTTTCGTAATTTTCACTTTTCAGTGGTAATTAGCTAATCTTGTATTGTTCGCCTTCTGAGTTCAG